AAAATTTTCAATTACGATATTATAATACCGTAAAAAAGTGCATTTAACATATTACAATATCCTTGTATTTTTATTTACGATATTAAAATATCGCTATTATATTATCACTATAGAAAATGAACCTACGATACCTGAATATCGTGTGTATCATATTAATATATCGTAAACGTTTTCAATAATAATATTGAAATGTCCTAATAGAAAATGAACCTATGATAGCTGAATATCGTGTGCATGTTTTATCATATTAATATATCGTAAACATTTTCAATAATAATATTGAAATGTCCTAAAAAAGCTACGATATTAAAATTTAGTGTATAGTTTGTAATATCGTAAAAAAATTAAAATTTTCATTAAAAAATTTAATTTACGATATTAAAATATTGTCATTTTTATCGTAAAATAAAAAATTAATTTTTATTTTTTTTAAGTTTTTTTAAAAATTTTCAATTACGATATAAAAATATGGGAAAATTTGAATTTCGAGATATTCGAATAACAAAAATTCATATACGATACTAAAATATCGTCATTACTTATTACAAAAGAAAAAAAATTAAGCTGCGATGTTAAATTATTTCGTAAAATATTTCAATTGCGGTATTAAAATATCGTCCTTATTTTATAACGGTGTAAAAACTAAGTTACGATTTTAAAATGTCTTTTTTTAAAATATCGTAAAAATTTCCAAAATGTAGCAACAAATTCGCGGCATTAGAAGATCGTAAAAATTTAGATTTACGATATTACAATATCGTAAAAAATACGATATTAAAAAATTCTCATTATTTATAACAGAATAAAAAAATTAAGCTACAAAATTAAAATATTGGGGAATTTTTTGCTTTTTAAAATAAAAAAATTTATTTACGGTATGAAAGCATCAAACATTTTTAATTTACGATCTTGTCATAATTTTATCACGAACAGTATTTGCTTTTACATATATTGCATTATGAGGTTACGATATTAAAATATCGTGTACATTTTTACCATTTTTAAAAATTTTACGATTTTTATTTACGATATTAGAATATTGTTAATATTTGTATTTGACATATTGGAATATTGTAATAATTTTTTTACGATATTAAAATATCGTTTATCTTCTTATAAAAATGAACCAACGATATCAAACTGTTTTGTGCATTTTTTACCGTGCTCAAATATCGTAAAATTTCCAAAATATAAAAAAATTGCATTCGCGTCATTAAAAATCGTAAAAAATTGCATTTGAGATATTAGAATATCGTAAAAAATTACTTACTATATTAAATAATTGTAAGTTTTTATCACAAAATAAAAAACGAAGCTACGATATTAATATATTGTGAAAATTTCTACCATTTCAAATGAAAAATTTTCAATTACGATATTCAAATATCGTAAAATTTTGCAATTGCGATATTAAAAACTGTAAAAAGAATTGCATTTACAATATCAAAATATCGAAAATTTTTTATTTACTTATTTCTAAAATCATGTCATCATTTTATAACAAACAATATTTTTTTACGATATTAAGATAGCGACATTATTTTGCCACGGTAAATAATCTATGTTACGATTTTAAAATGTTACATATATTTGTAATCATTTTAAAACATCGTAAACAATTATGATATTGCCATTTTTGAGATTTCTGTATTAAGATGCCATAATATCGTAAAAATTTCCATTTACGATCATCATTATTTTCTCACAGAGTAAATAGTGGGGCTACGACATTATGAAATCGTATACATTTTCATACCATTTCAATTACGATATAAGAATATCGTAAAAATTATCATTGAAGATATTACAATATTTTTATTTACGATATTTAAATATCGTCGTTATCCTATCAGTTAATAAAAAATGAACATGTACTTTTTTACCATTTAAAATATCGTAAAATTTTCAAAAATATAGTGGACATTTGTTTTCACGACATTAGAAAACCAAAAAATGGCATTTGCGATATTAGAATATAGTTCAAAATTCATTTACGATATTGAAATGTCGTTAAATATTTTCGCACAGAATAAAAAGTAAAGCTACGATATTTATATATCGTATACATATATATTTTTTACCATTTTAGAATATCATAAACATTTTATTTTATGGTATTAGAATATCGTAAAAATGTCAATTTACGATATAAAAATATCGTAATAATTTTGTCACGAAATAAAAAATGATGATGCGATATCGAATTATTGTGTAAATTGTTTACTATTTTTAGATAAGGTAAACCTTTTCAATTACGATATACAAAAAATTGCATTTAAAATATTAGAATATCGTAAACATTTTAATTCACGATATTAAAATATCGTGTTTATTGTATAGTAAAATAAACGAACTAAGTCATGATATTTAAATATGATGTAAATTTACTACCATTTCAAAAATTATATATTACGATATTAGAAATATTTACGATATTAAAGTATTGTCATAATTTTTTTCGTTTTTCAAATTCTACTACAGTCGTTATTTCATGTATCCGATATTGACAAATTGTCCAGTCGTCATCAAAATCATGAAGCAAAAATATTTATCGTAAACTATGTTTTACGACTTAAAATTTTATAAAAATCTTCATTTACGATATTAAAAAAATTTTGAGAATTATTCTTATTTAAAAAAAATATATCACAATTTTTTAGTTACGATATTGAGTGATTGTGTATAGATCCTTCATATAAAATATCGTAAACATATAATTTACGATATAAATAAATCGTTTTTCAAATTTATTGTAGTGGAAATTTCTTATATGCGGTATTGGAATTTTAGTTATTCGTTATCAAAGTCATAATGCTAAAATATTTATCGTAAAATTTATTTTAAAACTTAAAATATTATAAAAATCTTCACATACGATATTAAAAAATTTACGATTTTTTTTAAGATATTTAAATATGACAAAATTTTTAAAATACAATATTCAATTAATTAATGTAGAATATTAAATAAAAAAAATAATTTACGATATACACATATCGTTTTTCAGTCGGCATTTTTACTTGCATCCCATTAAAACATCTCCACGTTATCCTCTACTCGTCCAATCTCTTGCCACGCACTGTCATTAATTATCCCCCTCAAATGGTCGAAACGACAAAAATCCACGGCGACTAAAATTTAATCCATTTGAAAACTATCCAACACGCTTGCCCTATCTTTCACCTCCAATCGTTATGCTCATGTTCAGCAACATGTTAAATATGGGAGACAAGCTTTCGTCGTTGTGCGAACATGTGTGTGTGAGTCTTTAAATATTTTAAACAAATTTGCAGAAAATTGTCGAGATCGTTATAAATTTCCAACTTAGAGGCGGCTTTCTTTGCCCTTCATCGGCAAAGGCAATTCACAGGCTTTAATTGTTTTGGCAAACCATGGGTCGGTCGTTCGATCTTTGGCTTTACCCATTTCGATCGTGTTCAACAAGGCCAACTGATTAAATGATGCTTTTGTTTGTAGAACAACAAATTAACAAAAGACTTTTGTTTTCTGGAGAAAAGGAAAAAAAAATTCTCCTCGTTTCCATTTCCTTTGGGCAATTAAAAACGCTTTGAATTCGAGGTTAAGACAATGATGCCTTGGCAGAATTCGGCATCAAGTTTTAATTATCAGGCCTGACAACAATGAATGTGATCCACTAGCACCATTGCAGCCAAATCCCAAGGCGTATCAATTAAAAAATTCTTTGGGCGATTTTGCAAAATCCGGTGAGGGAGGAAGGGTTTAAAGAGAAAATCACAAAAACTGGAATCATTCTCAAATCTACCATAGCCTGAGGGGTTAAAATTAATTAGAGTATTGGTCTAAGGTTAAATTGAAATGAATACATTTGTTTAAATGGGAGAGAAGGGAGATGAAAGGACACCATGAAAAAATTTCGCTATAGATGAGCTTTTTAGGTCGTCTCCATATAGATTAGCTTTAGAGGTCATTTTCAATAGACGAGCCGGAGGTCGTCTTTCCAGACGAGCGGGAGGTCATCTTCAATAGACGAGCGGGAGGTCGTCTTCAATAGACGTGCGTGAGGTCGTCTTCAATAGACGAGCGGGAGGTCGTCTTCAATAGACGAGCGAGAGGTCGTCTTCAATAGACGAGCGGGAGGTCGTCTTCAATAGACGAGCGGGAGGTCGTCTTCAATAGACGAGCGGGAGGTCGTCTTCAATAGACGAGCTGGAGATTGCCTTTCCAGACGAGCTGGAGGTCATCTTTCCAGACGAGCTGGAGGTCATCTTTCCAGACGAGGTGGAGATCGTTTTTTCTAGACGAGCTGGAGATCGTTTTTTCTAGACGAGCTGGAGATCGTTTTTTTTTAGACGAGCTGGAGATCGTTTTTTTAGACGAGCTGGAGATCGTTTTTTCTAGACGAGCTGGAGATCATCTTTCCAGATGAGCTGGAGATTGTCTTTCCAGACGAGCTAGAGATTGTCTTTCCAGATGAGCTAGAGATTGTCTTTCCAGATGAGCTGGAGATTGTTTTTCCAGACGAGCTGGAGCTCGCCAGCTGGTCTGTGGAGACCAGCCTTCATTGCCACCTGGTCTATGTAGACCAGCCTTCATTGTGGCTAGTCTATGGAGACCAGGTCTACGGAGATCAGCTCATTGCCAGCTGGTCTATGGAGACCAGCCTTCATTGCCAGCTGGTCTATGGAGACCAGCCTTCATTGCCAGCTGGTCTATGGACGAGACCAGCCTTCATTGCCAGCTGGTCTATGGAGACCAGCCTATGGAGGAGCTAAGCTGATCTATGGATCAGCAGTGTATGGAGACCAGCTTCTAGCCAGTTTGGTCGCTAAAAGCTGGTCTATGGGGACCAGCTTCATTGCCAGCTGGTCTATGGAGACCAGCTTCATTGCCAGCTGGTCTATGGAGATCCCAGCTTTACTGCAGCTGGTCTATGGAGATCCCAGCTTCATTGCCAGCTGGTCTATGGAGATCCCAGCTTCATTGCAGCTGGTCTATGGAGATTCCAGCTTCATTGCCAGCTGGTCTATGGAGATCCCAGCTTCATTGCCAGCTGGTCTAGGGAGACCAGCTTCATTGCCAGCTGGTCTATGGAGATCCCAGCTTTACTGCAGCTGGTCTATGGAAATTCCAGTTTCACTGCAGCTGGTCTATGGAGATCCCAGCTTCATAGCAGCTGGTTTATGGAGATCCCAGCTTCATTGCCAGCTGGTCTAGTGAGACCCGCCTTCATTGCCAGCTGGTCTATGGAGACCAGCCTTCATTGCCAACTGGTCTAGGGAGACCAGCCTTCATTGACAGCTGGTCTATGGAGATCCCAGCTTCATTGCAGCTGCTCTATGGAGATCCCAGCTTCATTGCAGCTGCTCTATGGAGATCCCAGCTTCATTGCAGCTGCTCTATGGAGATCCCAGCTTCATTGCAGCTGCTCTATGGAGATCCCAGCTTCATTGCAGCTGGTCTATGGAGATCCCAGCTTCATTGCAGCTGGTCTATGGAGATCCCAGCCTTCGTTGCAGCTGGTCTATGGAGACCAGCCTTCATTGCCAGCTGATATTTGGAGACCAGCTTCTTGCCAGCTGGTATATAGAGACCAGCTTCATTGCTCTATGGAGACCAGCTTCATTTCCGACTGGTCTATGGAGACCAGCTTCATTTCCAACTGCTCTATGGAGACCAGCTTCATTGCCAGCTGGTCTATGGATACCCGAATCCTCATTGCAGCTGGTCTATTGCCACCCTTCATTGCAGCTGTCTGCCTTGCCAACTGGTCTATGAAGACCAGCTGCCTTGCCAAGTGGTAAATGGAGACCAGCCTTCATTGCCAGCTGGTCTATGGAGACCAGCTTCGATTCAGCTGCTCTATGGAGATTGCAGTTGGTCTTTGGAGATCCCAGCTTCATTGCCAGCTGGTCTATGGAGACCAGGATTATTGGCAGCTGATCTATGGAGACCAGCCTTCATTGCAGCTGGTCGTATGGAGACCAGCCTTCATTGCAGCTTGTCTATGGAGACCAGTCTTCATTGCAGCTGGTCAATGGAGACCAGCTTCAATGCCAGCTGGTCTGTGGAGACCAGCTTCATTGCCAGCTGGTCTGTGGAGATCAGCTTCTTTGCCAGCTGGTCTATGGAGACCAGCTTCATTGCCAGCTGGTCAGACTAGCTTCATTGCCAGCTGGTCTATGGAGCCCAGCTTCATTGCAGCTGGTCTATGGAGACTCCAGCTTCATTGCTAGCTGGTCAATGGAGACCAGCCTTCATTGCCAGCTGGTCTATGGAGACCAGCCTTCATTGCCAGCTAGTCTATGGAGACCAGTTTCATTGCCAGTTGGTCTATTGAGACCAGCTTATGGTCAGCTGGTCTATGAAGACCAGCCTTCATAGCCAACTGTCCTATGGACACCAGCTTCTGGGCAGCTGGTCTATGCCAGCGTGGAGACCAGCTTCTAGCCAGATGGTCTATGGAGACCAGCCTTAATTGCAGCTGGTCTATGGAGATCCTAGCTTCATTGCAGTTGGTCTATGGAGATCCTAGCTTCATTGCAGCTGGTCTATGGAGATCCTAGCTTCATTTCAGCTGGTCTATGGAGATCCCAGCTTCATTGCAGCTGGTCTATGGAGATCCCAGCTTCATTGCAGCTGGTCTATGGAGATACCAGTTTCATTGCAGCGGGCCTATGGAGACCAGCCTTCATTGCCAGAGGGTCTATGGAAACCAGCCTTCATTGCCAGAGGGTCTATGGAAACCAGCCTTCATTGCAGCGGTCTATGGAGATCCCAGCTTCATTGAAGCTGCTCTATGGAGATCCCAGCTTCATTGAAGCTGCTCTATGGAGATCCCAGCTTCATTGAAGCTGCTCTATGGAGATCCCAGCTTCATTGAAGCTGCTCTATGGAGATCCCAGCTTCATTGAAGCTGCTCTATGGAGATCCCAGCTTCATTGAAGCTGCTCTATGGAGATCCCAGCTTCATTGAAGCTGCTCTATGGAGATCCCAGCTTCATTGAAGCTGCTCTATGGAGATCCCAGCTTCATTGAAGCTGCTCTATGGAGATCCCAGCTTCATTGAAGCTGCTCTATGGAGATCCCAGCTTCATTGAAGCTGCTCTATGGAGATCCCAGCTTCATTGAAGCTGCTCTATGGAGATCCCAGCTTCATTGAAGCTGCTCTATGGAGATCCCAGCTTCATTGAAGCTGCTCTATGGAGATCCCAGCTTCATTGAAGCTGCTCTATGGAGATCCCAGCTTCATTGAAGCTGCTCTATGGAGATCCCAGCTTCGTTGAAGCTGCTCTATGGAGATCCCAGCTTCGTTGAAGCTGCTCTATGGAGATCCCAGCTTCATTGAAGCTGCTCTATGGAGATCCCAGCTTCATTGAAGCTGCTCTATGGAGATCCCAGCTTCATTGAAGCTGCTCTATGGAGATCCCAGCTTCGTTGAAGCTGCTCTATGGAGATCCCAGCTTCAGTCCAGCTGATCTATGGAGATCAGCTTTAATCCAGCTGCTCTCTGGAGTCCGGCTTCAATCAAGCATTTGTTCTGTAGATGCAGCCAGTGGCAGGTCTTTGTAGAAGGCGAAAAAGAGACATATTTGCTTGACCTAATTTTTTATAGACCCCTTGAAACCAAAAATGATTTATGGTCTTCCCACAGCCTAATGTGGGCTCCTTAAACCATCATTTTACTCCTTGTTTGTTTAGCTTGTTGTTGCGACGTGTTGTTAAGGGGCGTTTCCTTTTTGCAACAAATCTCCGGCTACTTAGCAGGATATTTTGGAACCTCCCACTTTGTGTTTTGTTTTTTTTTTCGGTTCCTTCGTTTTCTCCATCCTCCACATCGGGAGCGCATAATGTCATTTGGAAAACTGGCGGAAATTTGCAGCAACAACAACAACTCCAACCCATTAATGGTTGGCTGCTAAGCATATTCATTATATTCGTAGGCTGTGCACCTTGTTGTTGTTGTTGCCGTGTCCATAATAAGCAATGGTCTCTAGACAGTTTGGAGACTCAAAGAGCAGCCATGGCAGGCAAGAAGCATCTTTTGTTTAGCCTCTTCCAATTATTTTCTTCGCTTAATAAGTTCGACGAGTCAATGTTTGTTTTAGCATTGGCTGATGATGGTGTCTTTGTCTTTGCTTTGCCTGCCTCTCTGCTTTCCTGGGATGTGTGTGCGTCCATTGCCGGATTTGCCAAATGAAAGTTTCATTGAAAATGTCGACTACTTTGTTGTTGTTGTATTTTTATTTTATTTTCCTGAGCAACGTTTGCTTCTTCTGCGTCGTCTTTTGTCCAATTATAATCATGTACGCGCATTGATGTATGGATTGTATGGAGAGGGGGGGCAGAAGGTTCCCCCTCCGACCATATGAATATTTCATACCCCCCCTCCTCATCGTATCCCTCTCCCATCCAATGGATGCGTTAAAATTCTCTCATTGTCTACAGCCATTATGGCTTTTCTTGTAGCTTAGTTAGGAGGCCTTACCTTTGGAATATTTTGCAGAAATAATCTTCTTTTACAGAAAACAATGAGCCACACATACACACAAACACTGAGGTTCACACACACACACATTGCCAACGAAGAAGAAGAGACATTTACACGCCGACGCTCCTCAGTGTCATTGGAACCGTATATTCTAAATGGTATTGATGTGGCTGGGCTTTTGGAACTGTGTGGAAGGGGCTCAGGATGACTGGCTGGCTGTTGGTCTGAATGGTGAATGACGCTGTGGCATAAAAAATGATTCTGAATAAATTATATTAAAATCGGCTACAAATACAACAAAATGTTGCTGATGGTGTCGTTGTTGTTCTTTTTCGCCCTCTGCAGTGTTGTTTTGTTTTTAAGATTTAAAATACAATAACAACAACAATAACGACACCAATAGTAACAACATCACTAAAATCCACATATCAAACAAACAATGAAGCTCCAGCTTTTTTTTTCTCGATTTTATGTTTTTTTTTTTTTTTTTTTTTTTTTTGGTGGAAAAATGTGTTGTTTCTTTTGTTGTCTCACAAGACAATAAACACAATAGGTGCTTAAAATGTGGCTAATGTGGCGGTTTTCAGGGATTTACAAAATTAATTTATTTTAAGGATTTTTTTCCAAGAAGGTTTCTTGAATGACCTGCAGAAGTTAAGAATTTTTTAACGAATATTTTTTCTAGGACCTACAGAAACGGGGATTTTTTAAGGATATTTTCTCAATGACCAGCAGCCGTAGATTTTTTAAAGATTACTTTCTCAAGGACAAACAGACGTGGATTTATCAAAGGATATTTTTTCAAGGACCAACAGACGTGGATTTTTTAAAGGATATTTTCTCAAGGACCAACAGACGTGGATTTTTTAAAGGATATTTTCCCAAAGATCAACAGATGAGGATTTTATAAGGATATTTTAAAGGATATTTTCTCAAGGACCAACAAACGTGTATCATTTTTTAAAGAATATTTTCTAAAGGACCAACAGACGCGGATTTGTTAAAGAATATTTTCTCAAGGATCAACAGAAACGAGAATTTTTTAAAGAGTAATATCTCAGGGATCAACAGTAGCGTATTTTCTCATGGACCAACAGACGTGGATTTTTTAAAGAATATTTTCTCGAGGACCAACAGACGTGGATTTTTCAAAGGATATTTTTTCAAGGACCAACAGATGTGGAGTTTTCAAAGGATATTTTTTCAAGGACCAACAGACGTTGATTTTTCAAAGGATATTTTTTCAAGACCAATAGACGTGGATTTTTTAAAGGATATTTTCTCATGGACAAACCGACGTGGATTTTTTAAAGGATATTTTCTCATGGACAAACTGACGTGGATTTTTTAAAGGATATTTTCTCATGGACAAACTGACGTGGGTTTTTTAAAGGATATTTTCTCAAGGACCAATAGTCCTGGATGTTTCTTTAAATAATATTTTCCTACGGACCCAGAAAAGCGAGGATGTTTTCAAAGGATATTTTCTCAATGACCAACAGGCGTGGATTTTTGAAAGAATATTTTCTCAAGAACTTTCAGGACCACAAACGTGGATTTTTAAAAGGGTATTTTCTCAAAGACAGGCAAGCGAAGATTTTTAAAAAAATATTTACTCAAGGATCAGCAGGCATGGATTTTTTGAAAGAATATTTTCTCAAGGTTTTTTATGAGTATTTTCTCAAGGACCAACAGACGTGGATTCTTTAAAGGATATTTTCCCAAGGACCAACAGACGTGGATTTTTCAAAGGATATTTTTTCAAGGAACAACAGACGTGAATTTTTA